GCTTGGAAGGCTCTGCGGTTAAAAAAATATCAGTGATAACTGGATGCTTAAGTAGTAGTGTGAGGCCAACTATTTTTCTCCTCGGTATTATGAGGTTGCTCTCGATACCATGTTGCTTGGTATAAGTTGTTTATTAATGGAGTGTGCGAAAGCAGGCGATTGCCATATTTTGTCATATGCTACACAAACATCCTCGATGCATTGAAAATTGACAAGTGAAGGAAACGGGCTACTTGAAGGTTTTAGTTATGTTTATCGAACAAAAGGAACGATGGTGTGAATTTGCGTTTATTTTTAACTGAAAAGGAACGAATTTTTGGTCACGTTTTCACCTGCATTTGAAATTGCTTGAGTTATCGATATGAAATTACTTGAGTTAATTTGTTAGACAAATGTAGCCTTAGTCTGTCATGGACTTCGTCCCAGAAATATTGTAGTTTATGAGCTGTAGTTTCGAGATTGAGCTAGCAAATAATGTTTGATATTACTGTGAAATAACATTTAATATTCAGGGTGATCGAAGACTCGTAATTAGTGCCAGTGGGTTAGATTCAAGCTACCGCTGTTTTTGGCAATGCAGTGTTTCCATAAGTTGATTGACGACAACCCGGGTTTTGAATTTTATTTCCGCCGATGGCAGATTCGAAAAGAAGTTAAATGACAACAGAGTCATGTTGTTGAGCGGTAAACATGTAGTCACGTGCTTAAAACAAATTTAGGCATTCGGCTATATATTGTAATCGTTGAACACTAATAGCGCACCAGTTTGCCCTGGAATATCGGGGTCACGTTTCCTACTTATGTCACTCAATGTTTGAGTGCACTGGCAAACAGGTGGGTTTCGAATCCTCTGAAGGGACGACGTTTGCCTTATCCGCAGATTCACTTGCTCAAGAAATTAAGCCCACGTTGTTTTGGCAGAAAGAGTAAGGTGTTCTTGACTTGAGAATAATGGGAACAGCATGGTATTCAGGTCAGGTCATGCCAGTAAGGAGGAGACGTACGGCCATGCTATCTGATGCGAGCTTTCCACGTGGCTTCATTTCACCCTGATCAGCTGGATAATTGATCATTCAGTGTAATAATCAGCATGATGCATATCCCTGAATTCGACTGATTCCAAATTTTTCTATATATACATATAGAATATATATATTTGACCGGGGGTAGTGGAAACTCGATCTTGTCGTCGTTCATTTCATCTCAAAGATGTGGCCTTACATTCGATGCGTTACAGGCACCGAAATACTGTAGATAAATGACCTACTTGAATAGCGGCTAGAGACTAGAAGGCACTGCGTTTTCGCCTTCTGAATCCGGTATCTTTGATTGAAGTATAACGCTTCTGTTTCCTTTTCACATTTCCAAGGGATTTCACAGGTTGAGCTGATTTTGACATTTCGATTGGATTTAAGCTTCAGATGATCAATTATATAGCCAATTTCGAGCCATTATTAATCTGATTTCCATGGATTTTGGGTGCGATTAGGGACGACATCGTGCATGTTTGTCAGATATTAAGCTTGAGTTACAGAAATATTTACTACACATGAAGTTTACGTCGTTTTCTAACCCTGTACAGTTCCAGGATCGCGACATAAACAGAACAGAAGACACCATCATGAAGCTGCAGAATGGATTTAATCATCGAACTCATGCTTGAGGAAAATTGTATTCATATTCTCTACCGGCAGCATCTGGTACCATGACGTAGAATTTTATGTCTTTATGTAACAAAAAACAACGGACTGAAAATTTTCAGCAAAGTTGTTTATCCAGCTTTGAAATAGGCGTTTAAAACTGCTATGGAAAATTGAAAAGTAATGTTTGAAACACTTGGGGATCAACCTATGGTGATATCAAACAAAATATTTTGAGAAATGCACGTAGAAAAAAACTTCCTGCAATCATCATCGAATAAAATGAGACATCGCAAGGTAAAGGGTGTGCTGCATGATAAATTGTACACAATTTGAAACGGAGAATTAAAAGGAATCAAAAAAAGACAATAAACAAATTTATTAAAAGCAATGCTTAATGCGCAATTACTGCTCGATGGGTGCTGGTCGATTTCTATGCACCGGAGTCATTTGTAAACATATTAAGATGACGAAGTGATCAACAAATAGAGGTAAGCACTGGAAAACAAGGGCACATAAAGTGCAATATATGCCGCTCGTCAACGGTATCCGCTCAAGAGAGGCTACTTGCCACTTCTGTCACATCTTCAGGAAGATGTATTCCAGAAATGTAAGATTGTTCCAATGTTCAATACACCGTATTCGATCCATTTTCAGACCTGGATAAAATAACATTTTCGCCTAACATAGCATTAAGAAGAGTATTAAAAGCCGTTGTATAGTTATTCATGGCCAATCGCGCTGCCATCAACATGCCGTTGAATTTTAACAAGCGATGGTCGATTCAATGCTCTATCGGAAAACGCAGTTTGCCATCAGATCACATTTCTTCACGTTATGTTCAGTCACTGTTTGTGATGCTGCACTCCCCAATTCCGCAATCAATGAAAGATATGTTTATGAAATATGTATGAAAATTAGATCTTAAAGAGAGTTTAGTTCATTTATTGAATAAATTAAAGTTTTTATAGTTGCCACATTACGTCTGTTTACTAGTCTGCGGATGATACAGAAAATCATGGCAAATTTGAGTCCAAAACAAGCTTGTACGATACAGCACGGCAGTATGTCTCATACACTCTGGTATAGCTATGCCAGATATACGAACTGCACCTATTATACACACTGCAATGATTTGCTCTTCTTTCTCAGTCGGTTGCAGTCAAGCACAAGAGGTTCAATGCCTTGCTCAAGCGAATTAGCATTTTATTATAATGTTATGATCCCCATTTGGATTAGGGTCTGTACTTCTAAATTGCAAAGGAAGACCACAATTCACTGCATCATTGTCATCCAAATGCAGTAATATGAAGTTCATTCCAAGGACAAGTTAAAACATTTTGCTCAAAGCTTTACTACTTTGTTTTTGATCAATGATTATTTATTTTTGTTTAATTTCTGTGTAATATCATTTTATTTACTCTGAAAATAAAATTTTTTTGCCACCGTATTTATTAGTGGAGTGTGAACTTTAGTTTGTACGTGAGTTTCAAGATAGTATCGTAAATCACTTTGCACACTGAACTATTCACGGGTAGCAACGCTACACATGAAATTGCACGGTGTATGAATAATAATGCTGATGAAGTAAATTATATGTGGCTAACGAGATATCAATTTTTCATCTATTGCGTTTTCAGTTTATCGCTCCTTTGAGTTACTTAGCTGCGTCATCTCTATTAATTTCCAGTTTATTATTTGCGGAACTGCTATGGCACAAAAACATATCGAAAGTAAACTCAAAATGATGCATTATAATCACTTACATTAATGATTCTCAAAGTAAACAACGTCCCCATCAAGCAGATTAGAACTACGTGGCATTATCTGTCTCAGATTTTTATCATTCTCATTCTCTAAATCATTGCTGCTATCTGTCGGTTTCGATAATCGCTTATCGTTTCGGGTCGAAGAAGCAACAGGGTCAATTGTGTTTCTGGAATTCTCGATCCCGTGTAAACGTTTGAGCTTCAGCAGAAGATAACTCGAGTTTGGAGCACAGTCCGTTGAGGCAGATGATAGCTCGAGGTCTGGAGTTAAGTCGGCCAAGATAATTGTCCAAGATCATTCTTGGCCTTCCATTCTGGAACAGTTCGCATGCTGTCCTCAAACCGCCGTAGCTGGACATCTCACTCTATAGAAACAACGGCTATAGACCAAGGCTTTCTCCCATATCTGAACTTCGAATTCTGTCGATTCGCGCAGACCCACCAACTCGTCTCAGTGATCCTACGGTATTGCTCGGTGTTTCCAAAAATGAATATACGCTGAGCGTATTGAACGGAAACGAACATACCAGCTGGAATGAAAAGGAAGTTTTCGAAACAAAGTGCAAACCGCAAAATGTAAACAGAGCAAAGCA